CTAAATACGCTTTGGAAACACAAAGACTCGTACAACTATGTTGTTATAAACGAACCGCTATTTCTTTAAAACACAACTTTAAAGGATTGACTTTGAAGTAAAAGCAAAGTGGCTTGCATTTTTGCTCCCTACTTATATTTGACTTAGATGGGAATACATTAATTGCATGTAATATGCTAGGAATGTGTGGAAAATAACATTTTTTCCATGTGAGTCAGCACAGGAAATGAACTGCAAATGAGTAAAATGTTGAGAAGTCTACAGATGGAGGGTTTTTTTTAAATACACAATGTTTTTCAAGAGTCGAGTACTGACATCATGTTTTCTTCAAGAGTAAAGTATCACAGAGATGACTGATGACACACCAGAGACTGAAGAAGAGCAAGAACTTGCTTCTGATCAGCATAGTCTAAGACTCTAATCTGATACAACACTAATTTAATAGTTTCTGTCTTTGCTGGGGCTGGGCAGTTTTGCCTTCCCTTGTTGGACATTGCCAAAGCTTACCACATTCTTGCTAAACACAGAAAATGTTAGATTAGATGAAGCAAACTCAGAAGTGTTCTGATCTGATTTTCTTTTCACAGTGATGTAAAATAAACAAACCAGTGTCTTCTAAAAAATGATCTAGTGGTACATTCCACAAGATACTTTGATTTTCAAAATTTTCCCTTGCCAGGGTCAGATGTTACAGCAGTAATATATACTACTAGTAAGAACAGCAAATGAACAGGTTACTAACAGTCATATTGTGAGAGGATATTCATGGGTGGATATATTCAGGAAAATACTTTACCCACCATGGAGCCAAATCCACAGTCCTACACTAATCAATGCTTGGAATTCACATCCACAGTGAGCAGCAGAAAGGAGTACAGGGTCTACTCCAACATACGACTGATTTGCTCTGAAATTATGTGAATTATTACTGTTGACTTCAGTGTTAGAACTGACGACCGTATTGGAGTATTTGATGCTACAAGAAGGCCTCGTTAATGTAAAACGGATCCTCCATGCATTCCACAGAGCTCCCCTGAATCTGAAATTTTCTCCCTTATTTCATTTGGCAGAAAACTACTGCTTCTATACCAATTTTTCCTTCTGTTTACTGAGGTGGAACTTTAGCCCAAATCTAATACAGTTAGTAGGAATCCTTCGACTCCCGTCTTTAATGTGAGGTGTCATGCACACTATTAATACTGGGGTTTCTTTTTTGAAATCAAACCAATAAACAGAGTTTCTTTTGAAGATGTTGCATTGCACTCTGGGATGCATGAAAAGCATCTGAATGAGTAAGTTTGCTTTATACTGATCCTAGTAACCATCTTCCTCTGAATGCTGAAACCAACTACATGTATTTGGCCTTCATCTTATGACTGTACTTCTGTCAAATGAACAAACAGGCACACGTGCCACATCCCAAAGGCAACATTTGGCTCATGGTGCCTAACAATCAAGGAGAGATGATGCACGTATTTTTTGTAGGAAGATAATGTTTCGCGTTCCTTTGCTTTAATTTTGCTGTGAAAAGAGCAGCACAGGGAGCCTGCTGGCACTGCTTTGAGTGTCCTGCTCGCTCTGGAGCTGCAGCCAGATTCTGCCACACAAGTGAGATTGAAGCGTGTACTGCACTCTCATGCTACGCACAGTTCATCATGCTGCCCCGTACCAAACAGAGCTGCTTAGTTCATAGATCAGATAGCCATTTAAGGTGAACCTGGAATCATTCTTGGTGGCAAAATTGAAACCATGTAAAGTCAAGCTGGGATTTTCCTGGGCTCTTTCCCCCAGTCTTCAAAACATGCATCTGTCTTTGCCTTTATTCTCATCAATAAGGAATTTAAAGCCATAGACTCATTACTCTCAAATGTCACTGCCTGTGAAAAATGTAAATAGAGAGAACAAATAGGCTCCACGTTGCAAGTGTAAATTCAGAGTCCCTGCACAGAAGTGAATTTTTTTCAGTCTGCCTTTGGGAGCAGGCTTGACACGATTTCCTGAAAAGCTGCCTGTTTTGCTTCACTGTCCCCATAACCAACAGCTGCACAACTTATATGGATTAATTAAACTGCAAACAGTAACATCCAGATCTCCCATGCTGCTTAAAACACAATACAGCGAAACCAGGCATGACTGCAGTAAGGATCAAAGAGAGAGGATTACAGGAACAGAGTAGACGCCTGTCTATGAGAATCAGGGCATCTAGACTCTAAGGCATTATAAGGTAAAACTCTTAACATCTTTTCTGCCATACCTCCAAGCAAAGATGTGCTGGAGGAGGTCAGGGCAATTCACCTGACTCAGCCCGCCGCCAGACAAAATAGGTCGCATTAGCTTCTTCAGCAATTCTGAAAGGCTGCTCTCTCTAATGAAATCGCTAAGATACAGAACAGAAAAGGGAAGCCCTCAGAAGATAGAAAAGAAAAGGAAAAGTTCAGAAAAGTTCAGGTGGGGTTAAAGCCGATGTTTTGAAGTTTATAGCTGTGCTTCAAGACTTTCCTATCCCAGACAGGACACAGATTGCCCAGCAAAGGAGAAGGGCACGAGTGTTTATGAACTGGAGTTACTCCTTGCAAAGTTTGCTGCCAGTAATAATTCCTCTTGAGCAGCAGTGTTTTCAAACAGTATTGCTGAGTCGTGCAGATTTGTGATGATACTAATATCCGTACAACTTCATGAGAAGCTGCCAGAAATGCGAAGGACTTCTATTTGCAGTATATATTTGTGAAACTAAGCTTTGATAGAACATCTGTCCACAGTACAGAAGGAGACAAGTTCTGGGCCTGCTTCCATACATAAAGTTATTTCAACTAACTGCCTATCTTCCAGACTTCCTTTCAGTCTCTGAACTATGAACTTCCCTGATGCTTTACTCATTCTCCCTTCAACTTGTTCTTCCACTTAAAGTAGAACAAACCTTAAAAGACTGGAAAATAACACCAAAAATCTGGGATCAGAACTCCTCTGTTTCCCTGGATTCAGTAGAGTGGTAGTGCAGAGCGGTTGAAACCAGGCTTCATGTGCTTAATTCTTTAATTTATGGAAGCAGGATTGTCTTTCAACAGATTTAATGTTCTGCAGACAGCTGCCTTTTGTAAAGGAAAGCTGCCTTTTTCTGTTTCCTGCAGACAGCTGCCTTTTCCAAAGAACATGAGTTCCCCGCACAAGTGGTGGACACTGAACACCCTCACATGGAAAAGGAGGTATCATTTTCTGAAAAACTTTGAGCAACCCTATCAGCATCTTTCAAGGACTCCACATACTGCTATCTGAAAGGCAGTGACTTCCATGCCGAGGGACACGAGTTTCTTACAGTAAGCTAGACAAACCACAGACAACAGTTTGCTGTCAGAGACCTGCGTTACTTCTACATGAAGCTAAACTAGTGTTTCACTCCTTGTCCTGCCTAAAAACCTGGAAACTGTGTCACTCACTTTCACACTGGTACATTGCCACTGAATTTATTCCTGACTTACTGTGCTGGGACAACTAGATGATAAATTGCAAAAAGACCAAATCATGTGCATAACAAGCTAGCTGCAACGAGGTGAATTTCTAGGACCAGACTTCTGAGTAGCAGCTCCTGCAGCTTCCCACAGTGGTGACCATGCATGTGCTACACCTCCAGCCACCTGCCACCACTTCTTTCCTGACTTCTCCTTGCACAGCCCCATAGGTAATCCGCAGGGTGAAGGCTGGCTTTTTAGGCCTTCCACACTGCACTGTAAATTACCTTACAAGCAGGGCTCAGTATGGAGTTGTTCTCCGCACACTGAGGAGAATAATGAACGATTAGCCCTGTCCTTGATGTCTGTCTGCCAGTCAGTCCCTGGCAGTGACTTACATACCCACGGACAGTTTCAGAGAGAAGACAGGGTGATCTTTCAAAGGTATTAAGTTTGTGTGAGGTTTTGTGACTAGCAGGGATCAGATAGAAGAATCCCAAGAAAGTCTGCAGTGGGAATTCAGCTATTTGTTCTGTTGACCTGGTCTCCTGTCCTGGTTTTGGCTGGGATGGAGTTAATTTTCTTCCTAGTAGCTGGCATAGTGCTGTGTTTTGGATTTAGGATGAGAATAATGATAACATACTGATGTTTTAGTTGTCGCTAAGTAGTGCTTATACTAACTTGGGGACTTTCATGCTCTACCAACTCAGAAGGCTGGAGATGCACAAGACGCTGGGAGGGGGCACAGCCAGGACAGTTGACCCAAACTGGCCAAAGGGCTATTCCATACCAGATGATGTCATGCTCAGTATATAAACCAGGGGAAAGCTGGCTGGGGGGCCACTGCTTGGGGACTTGCTGGGCATTGGTCAGCAGGTGGCGAGCAATTGGTTTTCATTACAATTTGTTATTATTATTATTATATTTTATTTCAATTATTAAACTGTTCTTATCTCAACCCACAAGTGTTCTCACTTTTACTCTTCCAATTCTTTCCCCCATCCCACCGGAGGGGAGGGGGCAGTGGGAAGTAAGCAAGTGTCTGTGTAGTGCTCAGTTGCCAGCTGGTGTTAAACCATGACATCTCCCAAAACACAGGTCCGAGACAGCTAACACACACACACAAGCTGCTCAGAGCCTACCACCCAGCAGATGCTACTTCTTGCCCAATTGTTACTTAGGAGAGATGAGGAGCAACAGAATTAGAATCACTGCTGTGGAAAAGAGTAAGGATAGCGGACACAAATTTGCAAGATGGATTTCTGCTGTTTCTAGTGTAGCATACGACAGTTTGTGCTTGGTGTTCAGTACAACCCGAACGAGAGGGGGATTTGACTAGCTGAGACCCTCACCTGTGATTTGTGATATCAGTATGTGTCTACAAAGCAAGAGATCTGTCAACAAATATAGAACTTGTATTAGCCTGTGGCAGACGTGACATAAGTCCAGATCCTGTTTGCATAAATATTCTGAAGTAGACCTCTGGGCTCACATAAGGTCATCCTGCATGTTCTAGTGTAGACACCCCCCCATATTTATAAAGTCATTTCTTACCAACAATCATGTGGTTGCAGACATCGCAGAAGGTGGGTTTTTTGAAGATGTGCTCCTGGAAGATGTGAGCCTTGTTGTTTTCTGGCAGCTGCTGGGCTCTGGTGGGGGAGGATGCCTGGCTCTCTGAGCTGGGGAGCTGCCCAGTGCTTGTGCTCACCTCAGGCATCAAGTCTACTTGCAGTTTCACATCGCTATTAGTCCTCTGGAAGAAATTGTCCGCACTTTTACTCCTCAAGCTTTTGGTCTTGAAGGAGAGAGATCGTTTCAGTTTCTGCAGCTGCAACAAATAAGCCAGTTACAATTACTGCCTTTTCCTCTTCAACAGCAAGGCAAGGCTCCTGATTTTGGGCTGTGCTGCTGACAAGTGAACCCGGGAGCCACGGGCAGACCTTGAACCACCTGAACAATAAAACTGACTTTAGCATTTAGCCAGCAAGTTCAGAGAGCAAAGAAAACAGATCCAAATCAGAAAATAAACTACTCTACATATGCTTTCTGATAGACAATTAACTTGATAGCCCTAATCAATGCTGCTATCGGTCTTTTTCTTTAGGTATGACAGCAAAGAGGTACTGCAGAGAGTTGTGCACATTGGAGAATATATCCTTTGTATTCAAGCACGGGAGAACTTAGAGTATTATTCATCCTTGCATGGTCCTTAAGCAGCCTGTAAAGCCATTTCAGGAACAGTTGTTAAATGGCATTACAAGAAGAGTGAATTCAGTAAATATATTTGATATACTTGGATTTCTTGAATTTGGCAGAAAAAGAGATTATATATAGTTTTGACTGAGAAATTCTTGTGGTTTTTTTTTTTTTTAAGGAAAGAAATCTAAGGAGCAGTAACAGTATAATTAACTAGCCAATTGATAGTCAATGCATTAATTAATTAACACTAGTTATCACACATTCACATATATTCTTGTATATCATATTGTATATCGATTGTCAGACTAATAAGCACCACAATAAGGCGTTATTAACTTATATTTGTTAATTCAAACTCTTTACCTGTAAACTATCTTGTAGCTTATCAGAGCTCGTCTCATCATCCTCCTCCCCTCCCCCCCAAGATTTTATATAAGGCTGAGAAGGGCGCTAGGCGAGGCACAGAAGCTGTCAGGATATCAGCTACACAAATTTGAAGGTTTGTCAACTCCAATGGCCCACAAGTGGAGCCCAGGTAAAAGGAAAGCCAGCTCTGGGTCCACTCCACGTCTGCTGTTTCTGAAGTAGAATACCTCCGTATCACCTTTCACTCAGCTTTATTCCAACCACTGCAAAATCATCACTGCTGCAATTCTCTGGGCGAATGTGATGTAACAACTGAAATTTTCCATGCCGTGCAGGCTGCCTGTGGTAACCAGCAG